CATTAAAGAGTAGTTTGATAATTTATCAATATTTCTTACCCACTACCTTTTCCCATGTTCTTTTTGCTTTGCATAGTCATTGTACTTAAGATACTTTCTTTCCTTCATTATAAAATGCAATGGATTGTCACAATTCCAAGCCAGTCTTCGCCTTTTCCTTTTTTAAAAGGAAGTTTGTCAGTTTGTTGTTCCTACAGCAGTTAACTCCTGGGAGTAAAGGGGAGAGATTGAGGAATTGTTTTATTTTGCTCTCAGTATTTTTTTTTTTTCTAAAGAAAGGTGGGTGTCTGCTTATTTTAAATATTAGTAGCATGTCTGTTTACTTTCAGAGCTCCAGATCAGCAATGGAAAATAAGAAGAAACATTTCCAAACTACTGTGAATAGAATCTTAGCCATTTACTCTATGGACCTTATTTTCACATATCCTAAATACTAGTCAGATTGATTTTTTGTATGTGTGGTGCTGTGAGTTAATGCGCCAAACTGCAAAGCCTTTTGAACTGCAAGGTCGGTGATTCAAGCTCACCAGCTGCTCCTTGGAAACCCTATACAGGGTTACTTTGGGTCAGAATTGACTTGACGCACTTAACAACAACATTGCTGTTTTGGTGCTTAATATTCTTAGTGAGTTATGACACTTATTATTTACTTTTTAAACAAGTCTACTCAACAGCGCTTAACAAAAACAATCATAAAAGTGGCACTGTAGGATAAGCACTCTACTGCAATGTCAATTTAAACCGCAAGGTTGGCAGTTCAAATCTACCAGCCACTCCTCAGAAACCCTATACAGGGTCGCTATAAGTCGGAACCAACTTGCCAGCACTTAACAATAAACAGCAGCCATAAAAGTAAAACTGCTTTTTCTGTATAAATGGTAAAGCCTTGGACTACTAGCCAAAAGGTTGGTGGTTCAAACCCACCCAGAGCTTCCTCAGAAGAAGAGACTTAGTAGTCTGCTTCCAAAAGATCATTACATTAAAAACCCTATGGACTACAGTTCTACTCTGCACATATAGGGTACAACACAAGGTCACCATGACTTCAAATAGGCTTCACTACAATGAACGGCAGCAAGGCTTGGGGTTTTTTCATTGCAATCAGTATTTTAAAAAGATACAATAGAAAATGTTAATAAAGATAAGTAGTGATTTGTATAACTTGTTTATGTATATTTTGGGTAGTGATGTAAAATGTATTCCTAAATAAATACTCACAAATTTTAGAGGTACAGGTTTATTGGCAAACAACTGGCAACAATCAGTTCACTTGGCTTTTAGCTCTAGTTCTGTCACTGTCTCTGTCCACCTTAAACAAATTAATTTGTTTTAATTTCCTCGATTGTAAAATGAGAATCAACAAGACAGTGTCAGAGAAAGTGCTTTGAAGAGTAAGAGGGAGAGTAAGTCAAAAGTATTACTCCAGTGTATACATACATGGATTTATTCCAAACAAAACTTGTTTAAACATGGCTCTGTGATCAATGGATGACTTGTCTTAGTTTCTTTAAGATGCCTTCAAAAGATACAACAAAATGATTTTGAGGGCTCACAAATCACTGAAACTTTGCAGCAAAGTTATAGTAACTTTGCTATAAACAACAGTTTATATAAAAACAACAGTTTTTAGATGGATTTGTGCTTTAAGGAAGGTCAAGAAGACCTAAAAAATGAGCCAAGAGAGGGAAGACTATCATCCTCTGTGAATGAAGAGGTTGTGGTGGACGTCAAGAAATTGGTGGAGAAAAGCATAGAATTGCCACTGATTGGATAGCTACTGAAGTAGGGATGTCTCATGATTTGGCATTTTCAGTTTTGAGTGAACACCTAGGCCTCAGAAAGCTTTCAGCTGAATAGGTGCCTAAAGTGTTACCTAGAGATAAGCTAGCTCAAAGAGCTGATCTTTCCATCAGTCTTTCAAGCAAGATGGAAGTTAATGAAGATGCTATTGTAGAATGGGGTCAAGTCTTGGTTTTACCAACGTAATCCAGAGATCAAGGTCCAGTCAGAACAGGGCCTTTCAAGGGGATCTGCTGAATCAATTAAATTAAAGGTGGACAGGTCAGCTCAGAAGGATGGGTTACTGTTTTTAGGAATTCCAAATGGGCAGTCTTGATAGGCTTTCTTAAAGAACACAGGATGATCACAGGGGCTTATTATGAAGAAGTATTAAGAAAATTTAAAAACTCGTTGGTGAGGAAAAGTCCAACAAAGTTGTGCTGAGGGGAAAAAAAAAAATGTTTTTTTTTTCATCACGACAATGCCCTTGCTTACTCTTCGAAGGTAGCAAGGGCTGTCCTACAAAGAATATCATTGGGATATTTATGCCATCTACCTAAGGACCTCTGGTAGCGTAGTGGTTACGAATCGGGCTGCGAACCTCAAGTTCAGCAGTTCGAAACTACCAGCTGCTCCGCCGGAGAAAGATGAGGCTTTCTGCTCCCATAAAGATTTACAGCCTCGGAAACCCTGTACAGGGTCGCTATGAGTCGGAATCGACTCCACGGCACATAACAACAACTCTATAGCCTAGATCTTGCCCTTTCAAACTCCTTATTGTTCCCAAACTCAAAGAACATTGAAAAGAAACACAATTTGAGTCCTTCGAAAATACCAAAGCTGCCCTTTTGATGTATGAACAGAATTCTTTCAGGGAGGGTAAGAGAGATGAAAACACGGCCTTCAGAAGTGTGTAGATGGAGGATATGTCAAGAAACAGTAGCTTCACATTTTGATATTTTTGTGTAATATTTCTAGGATTTTGTAGAAATGTTTTCTAACCCAAATATGAATGACTGACTCGATGAGAGTAAAGGGGATCTTGAAGTGACTGGATTTGAAGAAACAGCAGTACAACAGCCCCATTCCAGTAGTTATCTTGGGAGGACTCTATTACTTAACCCAAGGGTACTGCCGTTGCTAGAGCACAATCCATATTTCTTTCTACAAACTGTTGTCAAGGAGTCCGTTTTGCACAGTGAGGTGAAATTTGGAGTATGATAACCTAACTTCAAGTATCCGTTTTGTTGCTATTAACTTTCTGGCCTGGGTAAGTTATTTAACCTCT